CTTTGTTCCATCTCAGGTCAGTGGACAAGGTGAGACTGAGCAGCTGCAGAGATTTGCTCTCGAGAAGTTTAGCGTCTGACATTCTAATGGAGGGCAGGGAAGGATCTCTGTGGTGATTAATAGAGAGCAGTTTTGTTGACAAGTTGACCAGCCAGTTCCTGCCCCATTTCACAATCGATTGGAGGTGTTTTTCGAGACGCACGGCCAGGTTAGTTTTGCCCGCGACACTAGATTTGTTTTTGAGGCAGGAGTAAATTGTAGTGTTACCCGCGTAGATGCCAACTTGGGAATTTATGGCGTCAGGAAGGTCATTTATGTAGATAAGGAATAGAGTGAGGCCTAGGATGGAGCCTTGAGAGACACCTGCGTTCGTGGGATAGGAACTGGTGGCGAATCCGTTGTCGAACGACCTTCAATTCACAGTTTGACAGGAATGATTAGGTCAAACAACCAACCCGTAATGTCATAACCCTGGAGCTTGCGAAGAAGGCCGGCATGCCAAACCCTATCAAACGCTTTTGAGATGTCTAGGACCACGGCACGAGCTTCCCCGTTATTTTGAAGAGCTTGGTAGACAGTTTCACTGATGGCCGTAAGCAGATCAGCTGTAGATCGGGCAAAAATGAAGCCATATTGCTTGTCTGAGAGCAGATCATGGGATGTAAGGTGGTTAACCACTTCGGTATTGATTAGGGCTTCGAAGACTTTGCCGAATAGGGGTAGGAGACTGATAGGACGGTGACATAGGGTATATATATATATATATATATATATATATATATGAAGAAATAAACATATCTTTCATTCAATGCACAAGTGTTGGAAATATTAAATATTAGTTTGTGTTAACACAATTTTTACAAAAAATCTAATTCTCGCGAGATAATTTTTTGTTGTTAAAATATTCAAATGAATTTTAGTTTAATTTTGTATTATATCTCCAGATTAACATTTAAGACTGAAAATACAGTTGTAAATATGAAATACAATTTTTATTTTAGAGAGACGCTGATTTTGAAAGCGTAAGTAAACGCGAAGCAACTTTGTAAAATCAAAGAGGGGTTAACTCTATTTTTTTCGAAAACCGAATAGTAATTAATTTTATTACTAATATTAACAGTAATATTACTAAATTAACTAAAAATAATCATATCAATAGCAAAATATGCCGTGATAACATGAAATAAAACGTAGACCTAACTATATTTTTCCCATTCATTTACTTATATATATATATATATATATATATATATATATATATATATATATATAGGAAGAAATATAGTCTTAAGATGTACTATATTTATGGGATAAAGTGCTCAATATCAGAGATAGAGCGTGTGTGAATATAAAAGTGAACATGGAAGTCAACACTTAGAGGCGACAGTCTGTTTCATGCTGGATGCAATCGTCAGGCCTGACGATTGCATATAACATGAAACAGACTGACGCCTCTAAATGTTGACTTCTCTGTTCACTTTTATATATATATATATATATATATATATATATATATATATATATATATATTGTATGTAGCGGCAATCTTTCATTTATGCAAGTTTCATCAAAAACGACAGACAATTTACTACGATTAAATTTTTATTTAATTTTTCTTGTGTTTCTTTCAATATAATGGAAGCCTTAATAAAAAACAAAACAAAAAAAAACACTTAATAATATTAACTACGAAACGGCCACAATATGCTAACTGTGTTCATAAAATAAAACATGCCTAAAACACTAAAAACATACACGCAACGTACACACCCAATTATATTGAAAGAAATAAAATCATACTTGATAATGGCGAAAAGTATAGGCAAAAGCTCTCGGAATTACAGAACATTGTGACAGTTACTACACACTCTGTGTCCCAAAAAGAAAATACTTGTTTGAACACAAGAAAAATTAAATAAAAGCTTAATCGTAGTAACTTTCCTTCAAATGTCATCTTTAAGTGGCTATAGCAATCTTAATATAAGACTCCTGAACCATAACTTTGATCCCAATTTGTAATTTTGTCAGAGCTGGTCAATTGGCGCAGTAAAGATCAGCTTCTAGAAATATACAAATTTCTTCAATATAAATAAAATATTATGGTGCAAAAAGTCACGTAACTCCTTAGGAAGTCGATGAAATCGGCTTAGAAGACATTTCTATCTCATGTCAAAGTACAAATTGATTAATACTTCTACGAAGAAAAGGATATTTTCTTTTGAATAAAAACCAATTTCATTAAGATGATTTTTCATATTCTTTATTGTTGCCAGGAGATTATATTATGTTTATAGAGGCTTACACACTTAAAATACATCTTTCTTTATGTGCCAATACGTATGTGTACACAGAAATTAATCAATGTAATGCCCTTTCTTCCATGTATCTATCTTGTCTCTTCAGGCAAATATATTTACTTATCTGTTTGTTTGTCTATCTATCTATCTATCTATCTATCTATCTATCTATCTATCTATCTATCTACGCCATAATATTATGTTTAGATATATCTATATATATATATATATATATATATATATATATATATATATTTCTGAGATGAGGCATTATAATTATTTAGATTATTTACATTGTTCGGAATATTTTCCTCAGCTATATTGTTTGCTTCACGTTTCGGCCGTTGTACGCTCCAGACTTCGTCAGGCGATTAAAATTTTGAACTGGGTCCTTCCTTTATTTCGTTTACCAAGGTAGATTGATCTAGTTCTACGTGACATGCCTATTCTGGATGTCTCAGTTTTCTCCCTTTATCTCAACTCTCCAAATTTTTCTTCACTAGATCTATCTATCTATCTATCTATCTATCTATCTATCTATCTATCTATCTATCTATCTCAGTCTGTTTAAACCTGTGTATCCTCCCTATCTATCTATCTATCTATCTATCTATCTATCTATCTATCTATCTATCTATCTATCTATCTCAGGCTCTACATATCTATCTATCTCAGTCTGTACATTTCTATCTATCTATCTATCTATCTCACTTTGTACATATCTATCTATCTCAGCCTGTACATATCTATCTATCTATCTATCTATCTATCTATCTATCTATCTATCTGTTTGTTTAGATCTATCTATCTATGTATGTATCTGTCTGCTTGTTTAGATCTATCTATCTATCTATCTATCTGTTTGTTTAGATCTATCTATCTATCTATCTATCTATCTATCTATCTATCTATCTATGGATGGGTGGATGTGGAATTATTTATTGTATAAAAATAATTCCACTTCAATTCCACCAATAAAACCAAATATCCTTAAAAAATTATTGCTTGCCTTCGCAACTTTCTACGATCATAATGGTAATATCTACGCCCAAACTAATGTTAATATGAGAAATTTTCACGGCCAGTGCTTCTCCAACTATTATACGTTGAAGACACAACGTGTAAACAAGTCACTAAACCCAAAATATATATCCACTATGTAGACGATATTTTTTTTATTATAGCAAAAAACAAACAAACTTTGTCAATCTGAAAAACACATCCGAAAAATAAACATCCGCGAAGAACCCTGTTATAGGACATTTACCACTTCATTATACAAAAACTCAATAACAGAAAGTGTTTCCAACTTAATTTTAAGAATAAATTCCCACTTACATTTAAAACAGTAGTCATAAAAGAATTCTAAGAGAACGTACAAGAATACATCCTCTTCCTTAACTCAATAATGTTAACCAGACGCTAGTTAACAATGTTTCTTTCTAACAAGCTCATCGACGACCAGATTAGACTATTTCGTTCGAAAATATCTAATAGCAATACTGAACATACGGATAAAAACAGTAACATTAATATCTTTTACAAAATACATGTCAACTATAAGCAAGACAATTTTTTCTTTTAGAAATACACAACCCCAATCGGTCTGGACAAAAAATTAAATTAATTATCTATTAGAAAAACATAAAACACCTAACCTTATCCTGAAAATCAACAACACGCCCGCAACGTCAAAGCTACAAAAAACCCACATTATTTACAAGTTCAAATGCCACTTAACGAATTGTGTTCCTGATCAAACTAAACTCATAAATAATTACATTGGTCATACTACTACATCCCTATCTAGATGGCTTACATTACAGCTACCCAACAATAGCTCAATTCGAACTCATTTAAGCAGACACAAAAGCCTACCAAACTCAATCCGAAACATAGTAGTAAAAAATACAATTTATACTAGCCTCATCCACGTATAAAACACCTTTAAAATAATGGAAGCCCTAATAATAACAAGATGAAAAGCCTCACACAATCAACTTGCTTAGACAAAATCTCAGCTGACATAAATATAACAAATTACAATTTTATTAATCCACTTTAAGTGTAGATTAAGAAAGAAATGGAAAGAAAAAGTAAATGTTAGTGAGAACATACAGGATGTTGTGGAGAGCCATGATCACCCATACTCTGAAGCGACATTGCACATAAAAGAGGTCATGTATGAATGGTAAAACAAAGACATAGAGGGCTTATAAAGTGTCAAATGTTACCTAGAAGATTAAAAAGGATGTTGTGGAGAGCCATTATCATCCATGGTCTGAAGGGATATTGCGCATAAAAGAAGTCACATAGGGATGGAAAACAAAGACAAAGAGGGCTGTAGTGAGACAAATATTACTGAGCATAAAAACATACTGGATGTTGTGGAGAGCCATGATCATCCATGGTTTGAAGGGATGTTACACATAAAAGAAGTCATATATGGATGGTAAAACAATGACAAGGAGGTCTTGTGAAAAGTTAAATGTTAGTTAGAACAAGAAGAAAAGGATGTTGTGGAGCGCCGTCTTCAAGAAGAAGAGGATATCATTGTTGAAAAAACAAGGACAAAGATGGATGATAAAGAGTAAAAAGTAAAGCAACCAAAAACAGGAATTTATGGAGAGCCATCATCACGACATATCAGAGAAGTGGAAATATTTTACGTCTGCAGACTAAGACTTTCAAACCACATCACGTCAAAACACCGATTCCCGTACGATCATCGCAGTTAAGCAACGTTTAGCCTGGTCAGTATCCAGATGGGTGACCTCTTGGAAATACCAGGTGCTGCAAGCTTGGACGGTGTAATGAATAATGGCTCAGATTATAAAGTGAGAGCCGAGTTCCAATTCCCGTTGGGATCGTTATATTCCCTTATGTGCAAATACCGTTGGGGAAGGTATGAATCCACCTGCCCCCCAATATATGGGTTAATTAGTCGGACATATCACTATAACATCATTACTTCCAAAAATACAAAATATAGTCCGGCTTTAAATAATCTGTAAAGGGTTGATAAGGAAACGAATCGAAAAACGTTCAACAAAAATGAAAACTTTTTTTTTCACGTACTAACATAATTTTTCCTATAGAATATTGGAAAAAATAGTACAAATACAGAAGGTTATATATCTATGTTACTTTCGGATTAGAATTAGAACATCAAAATTGACCAGAAGAAATGAAGAATAACTGTGTCCTCGTAACACTAGTCCCTACCTTTATGTACACGTGATGGACTTAGGGTGTTGTGAGCAAGAAGGGCCACGTCATTCTGACCAACTTTTTTCTTGCAAGACCCTAGCTTTAATGTTACCTTTTTACTTCGAGACACCAATGTTGATTCGTAGTTACAGGAAGTAGCTCGGGAGAGGCCATACGTGTATCATTAAGACTCTTATCTCAAACACACATATTCTAATTTAAAACCTATGGACTATCTGCTATGGGACAAACCAAGTATTAAACACACAACTCCAAGAACACATCGACGATTGTTATTATGGACATCATGAATAGGGAACATCTGATCAACGCATTTAATCAATTAAGAAGACGCATCGCGACCGTAATCAAATATGATAGGGTTTATATTAAATATGATTTGCGCACTTGGACGCAGTGTAATGGCTAAAGAGGTCGTCCCATCATATCTGTGAGAAGTGAGTTCAAACCTCAGTGGGTGCGCCATAATTTCGGCCTCGTAGCATATCACAACTTAGTAAATCACTATATTGATCAGACTTGTATACTCATACAAGAACATGTTTACTAAATTCTGTAAAAATATATTCTCTGTTAAATAATATGATTATCTCAGATTATGTTTTTCTCGAATACCTGATGGAGACTATATATACATACCCCACACACACACATATATATATATATATATATATATATATATATATATATATATATATATATATATATATATATAGAGAGAGAGAGAGAGAGAGAGAAATCAGTCATTGCTGCATATCCTGATAAAGGTGTCTCATTAAATAAGAGAACTGAGATTATGTTCGGGTGCAGGTATTTAAATAAATATTTTTAGGTACGTATGAACCGGGATGAGTTAAATAGTAATAATTTTTTCTTCCCCTCTTTTTTCCTCACATATTTTTCTTTCTTTCATCTATCTCACCTCTCCACATCCTCATAATTTACATTCTCACTTCCGCTGTTCTGGTATACTGGAGTAGTTTTCTTTGGCTTGTACATCCTTCCACTTGCCTGAGGAGACCTTACGGTCAAACCCGGGTTGTGATGTTGGTTTTCATTATAGCCTTTTCTTAAATATGTATATTATATTCGTTGTATATTATATTTAACAATATTCGTTTGAATAACGAAATAACGCACTATATATATTATGAATTTACTAATTTAAAAATATGGTTCCATCGCTACACAGGAAATATCATGTTTCAAAAACAGAAAGTAAAAACCTCAAATTCAATTATAGAATTAAATTAAAGTCCCTAGTCCTGTTTCATTTCCAAACGAATTTTCGAAAAACTTATTTTGAAATTTACTGAGTTTTATAAGCACATACGTTCATAATATTAGTTTCTAAGGATAGGGGAAATTCAATCATTTTTACTAGGGGCGGTAGGGTATTCATTTTCACTGTTAACTATTGTTTCAAAATATGAGATACTAAAGAGATTAAGTTAAGGTAGACTAGGGGCGCCTTTTTCAACAGATGATGACATCCGTTCAACAACAGGTCAACAAAGACAAAAAGGTTTTCGGCACTTTCTTTTCGCCATTAAATTTGTAATTGTATACATAAAGATTTTTTCTAAAAGGGTTGTTTGTATATGAGTACATCGTATTGAAATACAATTTTAAAATAGTATTCCTAATTCTAATTAGTAATAGACTATACTTCTTTTAAAATAAATACATGTAATAGAATTACTTTAATTATTTAAAAATTATTATTATATATCAAATATAAATATGTGTATTTCATTTATAAAGCTTTTTTAAACATTATTTATGGAAAATCTTTGACAATGTCGGCAAATAATAGCTATTTCATTTCTTTGATTAAGTAAAGTTTTATTTTTTATAAACCTAATGATGTATAGTTTCTCATGTATGCACAAAGGACATGGGTCATTTAAAGACCTACATACTCTAGCTTGTCTTATTAATTTCCATTTCACGGTAGGTGTTTTATTGATTTAAGTGCCAGAAATATTTCGATAGCGTCGTCTTATTTCAGTATTTATTTATCCTAAAAGAATTTTGATGTTGGTTGAACCGTTTCTTGAACTCATGTCCTGTGCATGCAATGTATACTTTTACGTTGTTTGGATCGTCAGTAAATGAGATATTGCATTGATACACTAATGATTCAGTCCAGAATTTATTATTAAGAGAACAGTTATGAGGATTTCTGCAGTTACATAATCTTTGTTTATCCTCATCATTTTTATTATCTCTTTATTTATTATAATATTGTCTAAATTTCTGTGGTCTTGGTCTAAGTGCTTATTCAAGATATTAGCATTATGTTTCTTAATAATTATGGCCTTCATTAAATTTCTTGACAATATTATTAACCGTTTGATGATTAACCTGGAAAAACCTAGCAATTTCTCTATTTGACTTGTCACACTGATGCCATCCTGTTATTTGCCCTCATTGAAATTCACTAATTTTCTTACTTCCCCGAACTTTCATTGCAAAATGAATATCAACTATTGTTCATAGATGAGAGTAGCTTGATACGAACACGTATTGTCTAAAAAGAAGAACAGACGTTATTACACAAGCCAAAATTGCTGTAATCAAGGGTGGCTAAAAACTTATTATAGCTCTCTGTATATATATATATATATATATATATATATATATATATATATAATCAATCACAGACTATCATCACTGTCTTGTCCGTATATTGCTTAATATGTTGTACAGTAATTGACATCTTTGATAATGGCTTATGTGTGTTGAAAAGCTTAGATTGGATTAAAAAATATGAATAAATATTGTGATTTTCTTTCTTCATTTAATGATAATATTATTAAGCTTATCAGACGTTATGAAAAGAATTTATATAAAATAAATAGACAACACTTGTCTATATTATTTAATGAAACATGCATGAATGAAAAATTGCTGCCTAAATACACACATATATATATATATATATATATATATATATATATATATATATATATATATATATATATTATAAAATAGAGTAACTCCGGCAATCTTTTTAATATATTTATTGTTTATAGGTTATTTTTTTATTTATTATTCACATATTTAAATTTATTTATTTAATATTTATTTAAGTATTTGTATCTATAAAAAATATGTAAACTATATATATATATATAAATATAAAAGTGAACATAGAAGTCAACATAGAGGCGACAGTCTGTTTCATGCATGAAACAGACTGTCGCCTCTAAGTGTTGACTTCTATGTTCACTTTTATATTTACACACGCTCTATCTCTGATATTGAGCACTTTATTCCATAAATATAGCACACCTTAAGACTATATTTCTTTTTATATATATATATATATATATATATATATATATATATATATATATATATTATACTAATGTTCACCAAATATAAGGCCCAAGAGCCTATCAAAGTAAACAGTTGCTGGTGTTGTATGAGCGTACGAAATTCATGAATTCATAAGGTTATGTATAAAAGATAACAGTTGACCCTAGATTTGAAAGGGTCAAGATTGAGTCAGATACTTAAAAAAAGCGGTACAATAAAGCGACAATTTTTTCAGCATTTCTATCAATAGATCATATTATTTCAGTAACTTCTAGCTGATTGTCGAACATAACTAGTTTGCTTTTAACCGTACTGGATTTTATAAGTCAATCTTTCCTTATTTGAGCTTATAAAGCATGGTCATATTAAAAATCATTTGCTAAGTTCCGGCCATGCAGATTTGATAAGTGGACTTATAAACTGTTATATATATATATATATATATATATATATATATATATATATATATATCCCTAATAGTCTTAGAGATAGGTGTGACTTATGTTTAGAAAATAAAATTAGAATAATAAAATACAATAATCAAAGCCAACTATAGAATCAGAGGAATGATTTGGTGTTAAAATGTCGGCATAAAAACAAATTCAAATTTCCATAATATAGTTTTATCTTAATTAGCTACCATATTTCCATAATATTGACTCTCCTCTAACTCTTCTAATGTCGAAAGTATAACGAATTCTAATTTTTATAGCACCCCACTATAACCTCTTTAAACTATTGGGTTCGTAACTATGTTTTTTGTTGTTTTTCTTTTTTAATTTTGGAATCTATTGTGTTTTTAAAGGGTGAAATCTATTTTTTTCGAGAATCCTATTTTGGAATCATTTTGTAATCTATTTTTTTTTTGTTTTTGTTTTTTTTTTTTTTTTTTTTTTTTTGGTGGGGGAGTTATTTTAAGTTAATTTCTGTTTATTTTAAAATGGAATGTCAAGTTAAGAAAAATGAGCATTTTTGACATCTCCTTCTTTTAGCTTTTAATCAACATTCTAAGTTCGCAACAGCTGCTCGCGATATTTGTGCTGTGTATGGAGAGGATGCCATAGCTGAAAGAACCGCTCGTGATTGGTATGCCAAGTTCGAAAATGGGAAGTTCTGACCTCAAAGACGCACCTCGTTCTGGCCGCCCAGTTGAGTTCAATGAAGAGCGATTAAACCAACGTTTGCACGAAAATTCTCGTCAAACGACAAGGGAACTAGCAGAGAAAATGGAATGCTCCCACACTA